TTACATCTTAAAGACCATTGACATTGGCTCTTCTCAAGCAAGTCCAGTGATGTCACTAGCCAATGGTTTTTAGTTTTAATGTGAATATTTTTGTTATCTTCCTTTACTGCGTGAGAGGCAATATTTTCCTACTATACCCATATCTGAGAATATAGCTTTTAACAGATTTTTTTTTTAATGTTGTAGCTTCATTTCCAACTTCTCATGTTGCAGTGGCCTATTAACCTTATCTTCCTTGAGCCTAAAAATCCAAGGGTACAAAGACCAAACACTCTCTCTTTTTTTTTCCCTCCAAACTCTTTATTCAGTGCTTTTTTCAGTTGTTTTTTAATCCTGGGGAATTCCCTTTTTTGCTTGCAAGCTTAAGTATACATCTACAAAGATGTTTGTTATAATTCCATCTAGAATTTCTAGATAAAAACTGTGAATTTGTTCATGTTTTAGTGACCCTTTCATACTAGCAAATATATCAGAATTTGTTGTTGTGTGGAGTTTTTATTTTCCATATTTTCAGTCTGGGACAAAATGGGCTTGTTTTATTTATCCATATTTTGTGAGCACTCCTAGGAAAGTGATATGCATTAATACTTAATATCTCTTCTAATGAAGTGAAAAATGCATATGCAAACTGTCTATAATCATTTTCTAAACCAATTTAAGCTAGTTTAAATTTATCTTCCTATAGTCTATTTTCCAAAATGTGAATTGTTTCAAAAGCAGCATATGTGGTCTGCACTATTATACACTTTTTCTTTGTTTTTATTTCAAAAACTGTATTGACTTTACTAAAATCAATTCATCTAGCGAGCACATTTTAAGTGTCCTTAATGCGAATGGTAATGATTTTTATTTTATGCTGTGGTTTATGCATAAATTGTTTTTGAAGCTCAATATGATCATTTTCAAAAGCTTTTTGAAAATAAAATACCTGTATCTTGTATAAATCTATGCAATATTTGAACAACATACATATTTTCTATCTATAAATTTTAAGAATATTTTAAAATAGAAGATGTTTATATATAATCATATATAACAAATCTAAAATTATTTCTCAATTTAGATAATGAATACAGTTTTAGGTCAGTTAATCTGAAAAGATTTAAACTAAACAACACTGTATAAAAATAAATAGAATGTAACAAAATAAGAAAATTATCTTGATATTTGATATGCTTACTGGGGAAAAAAAGGAAAATGCCTGCAGTATAAAAAAAAAGAAGAAATTATGAATTCTTTCCCTGTTCAACCAGTAGATGTCATGTTTGGATGTCCAAGCCCAGATTATTATAAGGATATTTCCTTTGTTTACTGTGTGTTTTTACTATTGAGTGTGTACACGTTAAATATGATTGTCTCTGAAACCCGAGAAGAAAATTAAGTGTTACTTTTTTACATTTTACATTTTAAGATGCAGTTCTCAAATGAAATCAAGAAGCATTTTACTTTTCTAAGGTTTTTCCAACGAGGTTCCAGTATAAAGAATGCTCTGAGACATAAGCAAGCATATCTATATTTAACAATAACTGCTAAAAATTATTTCTGATCAGTACTTATTACTGATCAATACTATTTATATACTACCTTAAAACCTTTTTATACCTTTAATTCTAAAGTAGTATAATTATTCACCTGAAATAAAACTTTTTAAGAAAAAATTTCATGATTCAGATTCAAATTTGCAATGACTCTTATTGTATTTGAATTAT